TCTTCTTACCTGGTATTGACATTATCCTTAGCACCAGACAAAATACCAACAAACTTTTCCAAAGATTCTACAAATTCCTGGACTTGACCAAGTTGTTGGGACAATTCACCCCAGTTCTGAAATTTCAAAATTAAAATTATACCTTATGATTCTAACGAAGCATATCCTGTGTCCTACATCTTTTCACACCCCAACGCTTCTCCATCATAGGTTGTGCTATTGCTCTCTTGCAATAACAAAACTTAMAATAGAGAAGAACTGGAATGAGAGCCTCTAGAACACAGTGATGGTAGATGGGGTATTGTTTTTTAGTTGATTTGGAAATCTTACCTCTTGTTTCTGYAAGGCAGGGATTAATATTGTACCTAACAGCTTCTCAAATCCAGAAAGAATGCTACCCTTGGAAGTGTCCAGCACCATGAAGCTGACTTCCTGGAAACAACAAYAATAGAAGACTAGTGTTCAGGGATGTGGTACCCATATTGGGTCAGGTACATCTAGGACCCATTCAGCCATGGTGTCAAGTTTTCTCAGGGTACACCCATGACCCATTCAGCCAATGATGGTGCCCAACTGGCTAATGGTGCATCTAGGGCCCATTCAGCTATGGTGCCTTAATATTTGCCCTCAGGGTACACCTAGGGCCCATTCTTGTATAGTGCTTAGTTTGCTCAAGGTACACCTAGGATCCTATAGTGCCTAAACGGTACACCTAGGGCACATTCAGCCATGGTGCCTAGGGCCTATTCAAAGAATGTACCTACAGTTTTTGTGTCAAAAGTTCTAACCAGGAAGAAAACTGAATCAAGTTTATAAAATATACCTGTGCAATGTTTGCTGTGGTGATATTTTTATTGTTGGATGTCCTTAGGAACATGTAGCACTGTCCATGGAGGCCCTGGTAGAATGAGGGGAAATGAATACATCACACACTGAACAACTGAACAATAGACTATCAAGATATACCAAGTTGAGGATCAAGAACTATTTCAAATGGGGTTGCCGTTACCTAGCAAGGCATCACATACTGTAGCATCCTTTTTAGATCTATACTCATTTTTAATTCTTATTATTTCCAAACTCCAACAGTAGTAATTGGGTAGCTATACTATCCTTCTCCTGGATCTGCTCTTGATATGCGCACAAGTAAAGAGAATTCTCTATAGTTACCTCTGTATTTCCATTGCTGATAAACAGCTTCTTAGGCGAGTTTGCAGCTTGAGAACTTAAATCAACTCGGTTCAACTGAAAACAAAAATTGACATCAAATGTAAACAAGAACTCCTGCACATGCTCTGAAAATGGACAGATTCTTAGATGAAAGCCTGGTAGATTCATATGTTGGAAACAAACCTCATAGTGCTTTGTATAAATAATTTTATAGTTATAATAGCTAACTTTTGAAATTCTGGTAGAGTGGTCCAGCACAAAAACATATCGAGTCGAGGCTCCAGAGAAACAATAATGTATTTGTAGTAATTTATTCTTTGTTTCCCTGGAGCCTCRACTCGGATTGTCTAAAGCTTCAACACTCAACCAGAATATCGAACCTTGGCTATTATTAATATCTATTATGAATCAGTAGTTATTATTAATACTTACATGACATTCCTGATAAAAGAACATTAACCTCTTGATTCCATCTGTTGCAAAGAAGCTTTCAATCTGTGGATACTGTGCACAAAAAGCAAAAAAATATATAACCATAAATTAAAAAATATATATTTTATAAATACTTCAAAAAAATTGGAATAGTATAGGAAAGGACACAGGTAAAGTCAGGAGCATGGAATAGAGTTTTCATTGGGATACTGGGTGGAGAAAAAGTATTGCCTATGGGGGGTAGGGAGGGGGGTAACAGCCTGTGGGGAGGTAGGTAAAGTRCTGTTTTCACTTATTGATTCTATTAATTATTTATTTTCAATTTGGAAATGTTAAAAAAATCAAGGTAGAGTGTTTAAGTCCCTGCCGGCAACCRGTGTTGTCTAAGAGTTATGATACAATAACGTACAAAATGGAAATAATCTAACTTTTTCATCCCCAAGTATAAAGTCTTCTACAACTGCACTGTCTATCCCAAGAATCTCAGCAAGCTAAAAGAAAAAAAATATTTGTGTTAAGCAAAAATAATATGCATTATTTATTTCAGAGAAAATTGCTTAATACATATAGTAATCAAAAATACTATTTTGACTTTAAATTAATTATGTCATTTGATACAGTTTGAAAAAGTAACAAAAATAACTTCAGYATATTTATTTCCGTCTTCAAAAATGAAGCTAATTGAAGCCATTTTCGATTTTTTWAAATTATTCATAACAATCTAAAACAGAAATTACTAATTTTTAATTCCAATTTCGAATCTGAAAAGCCAATCTAAAAAAGCCAATAAAATGTAATTTATTTTCGAATCTAAAAAAAGCAAATGAAATGTAAATTACTTTCGATTCTAAGAAAGCCAATAAAATGTAATTTGTTTTCGATTCCAAAAAAGCCAATAAAATGTAAATCATTTTCTAACCCAAAAAAACCCAATGAAATGTAATTTATTTTCGATTTCAAAAAAAGCCAATAAAATGCAATTTATTTTCGATTCTAAAAAAGCCAATAAAATGTAAATTATTTTCTAACCCAAAAAAAGCCAATGAAATGTCACTTATTTTCGAATCAAAAAAAATTCAATATAGTGTAGAAATAAGTCAAGCGTTCTGGTTACCAATGGCAACAGGATGGAATTCTTCCAAACACAGACCTAGTTAATGGACTCTTGAGTTTTCGAGTTGATAAAATGGCCATTAGTTAAATGRCTCTGCAGCAAATGACAGTTTTTTAATCCTTCGATATAATARTGTTTGGTTTAGAATTAGTATACCATCACTTGTGCCAGTCGTTTTTCAGTGCGGTTATCGAACGATCTATAAAATCAAAATACTAGTACAAAAATAAAAACGCGCAAAACTTACCTTCTGAAGGATATAATCATGCCGTGAATCCATCTAGTGTTAAAATATTAAATATTATATTATGATCATTAATTTAATAGTTTTTTTATTGATCGACATAAAACAAATATTAGTCTAATTTCTTTGTCACTTTCATTGGCACACTAATAAAATATATAACACAACATTATCATATTGGCAAAGTCTAGATGATTACCTCAGATTTTCGCCCATCTTTGWGAGCTTTTGCTTGTTTTTGTCGTTCTTTCATGGCTTCAGACCCTGGGACAAGGGTAACCGTTTTTTTCTGACCATAAGAAAATAGAAATATGTATTTTTAAAAGCTTTARAAAAATTGAGCGCGCAATATAATCTTTACAAACAAACGCGCGCGATTGTGAAAAATGCTACGAGATAAACTTTTATTCGTAAACCAATTTTGATTTTTAAACAAGAGARAAATGAAAACCTTCAAARTATATAACTCAAATAGAATAATTCCTAATAGCGRAATAATTCATTATTCACGGAAAGYTAGTTTTATAACAAATGTCTTCACTCTTTGATTYATTTTGGAYATGTCAAGTTTTGGAAAAAGAACAGCTGTCTTAAAAGCAAATTTGATTAAAATACACACTGAGTCTTGAACAAATATAATTCTTGAAGAATTAAAGAAGGTAATTTTGAATACTTAGGTGTAAAGATGAAAGGTTCTCGGAGAAGGGTTCTAAACACAGATCAACTAGCTTGCCCCGTCTTGATCATCCCGAACTTACCGCTGCTGTTGGAGCTGGTCGGCTAGCAGATCGAGGAGCTTTCCCTCGTCTTTTRTGTCCCTTTTTCGCTTCTTCCTCTAAAATAACAAATATTTCCACAATAAGCTGCAGGAGAGTATCACATCAATGAGATATTTTGGAATAAATACAAAAAGGTGTCTACGAAAATTGAATGCTTGCTGTTCTAGATGGATCTTACGGCGATACCCCATTTCCCACACCATGATATCTTCAAACTATAAAATAACTTAAAGAAGAAGATCTTGGCATTAAATATATTCCTACCTTTAGCAGGGGCAGATATCAATGGTGGAGCTACCTCATTGCTCGGAGGAGGCGAAGGAGCTCTCGACTTGGTCGTTTCTTCCTTAGCTGCTTCGGACATTTTGTGGAAATATTTGATACAATTCTGATCCTAAAAAACCTCTAAATATGCCACAAACATGTAGYCTATGGATTGATCTCTTATTATTTCTGATTAAGTAATCCGTAATCGTTATTTTAGGCTTGTAAAGAGAGGTCTTTGCACTCCTCTTCGAACTACTTGAGGTGCGCCATTTTCTATCTCCTTGGTGATAGTATACGAACTTCAAACCATACTCTCCGTCGATTGGTTGATTGGCCAATTAATTGGATCTTGCTATTTGTATAGGATCTTTGATGTAATTGTTTATAGAGGCTCTAACAATGGATGGCACCGCTAGAGAGATTTCTCCTGTAGAGATTTTTGAGTGCACGGACAAGCAATTCAACTAGTTAATTCAATTATGTTATAAGTTATAAAAAAGGCCTCTTCAAACTCCTTCCTATTTCAAAGGAAAAGGAATGAATCAGACTTAAATTAATGCTTTTTTGGCTTTTTTCTCATTTTAAACACTTAAAACGATCAGATGGACTACTTAAGGAATGACAACATTTGATAAAAATGTAGAAAAATCATTGAATGCAAGAGTTAAAGTGGAAAGGAAACTAAACAGGAAAGAGAATTATTTATTTTAACATATTTCCATTCTAAAATCCCTCCATTCCTCCACCTCCCTCCCCCTACCCTACCCCCTCCCCCCAAGTAAAAAACAACAAACCAAACAAACAAAAACAAAACGATTAAGAAAAACATGCAACATTTATGTTTTTTATTATCCAATTAAGTGAGTTATATATTTTTATTTACAAGACAATTATGCATTGTATTTTTTGCAGGAGCCCTCCTTATAGCTGTGTCATTTATAGGTTTGTCTTCGTATTTACTGCAAATGATAAATGAAACACAATAGCTTATCTTGGACCTCATTGACTGTTACAAGTGTGTGTGTATTGCTRGTTTTCAATAATTCATTAAAGAATGAAATAACAAAGACAYGGCATGACACTGTTGATTGATATAACAAGATATAACACGTTAAATTTAGCCAACATGGCAACTGCAGAAACCAGTGCTTGATTCTAGCATAAGCTTATGGCTTTGACACTGGGCAGATTTTACACCTTATCTGAAGCATACACCTGAACCCTCAGGGAATTCATGGCTTGGCTTCAATCCTTGACCAGTCAAAGAAAAATATGAGAAATAAATACTGTTTACAATGTAAAAATAGCCATTGTCCTATTGGAAGTCTTGTAATGATTTGAAAATAATTTCTATGATTTCTGAGAGAGACAAAAGAGTAAAAATGGGTCGATTTACTAATCTTAAAACTCTGATGCATGTGGGAAGTGAGGCTAAGCCCGCATACACTGGTGTTTTAAGAAACATTGGTCATTATCACTATGCTTTTAGTTTGGCCAGCATTTCTTCTATCTCAGAATCAGCAGTGTTTTTAGATCCTGCAGCAAGCCTACTGTTGTGTGCTGAAGGTGCCTCTGCCAACTACAGAACAAAATACATAAKACTCAATTAATACAGATTTCATAGACATTGGTGCATCCACAAAAATCCAAACCTTTTTATTTTTCATGGTTATGGGCATCCTGTTGCAATAAAACCCACAGGGTGACCAAACTGTGAAGAATTTTCTTACCTTTCCAGAAAYATCTATACCAATTTCATCTAATACTTGGTTGACAATGGCATCTTGCTCCTCTTCATCACCAGATTCATCAAGAACTGAATCAAGTCCTTCATTCACTGGAACATTAAAATGGAATATTAAATTTTATTGAATAATTAATAAAATAACTAACGTAAACTTGTCTTCACAGCCCTACCAAGCAAAGTATTTGCTTGCACAAGATGTCGTAGCAGAGGCACAAAATTAACAGATCAGAGGGCAGCCAACTTGAAAGTTTATCATGACATGGAAACATTAGGGACATGATGTTAAAAATATATACAGAGGTTAAAAAAACAGATAATCATACAATATTACATTTGATATTTTTCTTACATATTTCTTCCTTCATGTCCATCTTTGCAGATTCCATTTCAAAGTTGTGTAAAGTTTTTTGTAATGCTTGTGGATTGACTTGTGCATTCATGCTTGCCATTGTCTGGAAAAATGAAAAAAAAAAAAAATGAAAAACATATATGAATTGCGTAGCTCCTTTGTATCCAAGTACCCTTGTTCTCATTGGTTTCTTTTGTCTTGTTCTCAGTATATAAACACTTCTTTCTAACACCTCCTTCTCTTTTACTCCGACAAAGGACTAGCATCCGAAACGTCAGTAAGTCTTTTCATCTTTTCACAGTGTAAAATTTACCCTTTTATCATTTACTGAATCAAAGTAAGAATGATATCATAATCACCTTAGAAGCAGATGACATGGCACCTGCCATCTTTGCCATTGACTGCATTGACTGTGCTTGATAACCAACACCTGTTAGCCTGGCGCTCACACTCATGTTCTTGGTCTTCTGTTTCCGTAACATCAGGAGCTGCTTCGCCAATGTAGTAGCAGCCTGTAATGAGGAAAACATTTTCTTTTTTGGTAGGAAATTCCAACTACAATCACAAACAGAGTCATACAAAATGGACTTTTCTCAACACAGCAGCCATGTTGCCTTGCACAAGTATTAATTTTTGTCAAACATAGCCTCAAATTCAAACACTTCATAATGCCAGCTTAGTCTGGTTTACCGGCGTTTGCATTGCTACGCAGCCACCCCAAACAAAAATTGCGACTTGCACTTTGCAATAGACTGCCATCAATCTAACATGTTGACTTCATTTACACACGTGTGTGATTCAAAAGGCACCAAAACTTCGGTCGATTGTTTACAAGTATTATGAGCCACACTCACCAGGCCTATCCAAACGCATGTAAATGATGTCAACTTGTTTGATTGACTGCAGTCTATTGAAAAAGTGCACGTTGCGATTTTTGTCTGGGGTGGGCGCGTAGCAATGCAAATGCCGGTAAACAAATGTTCTTATTCTCATGGAAAAAATATGACATCTTGTGATGAAGGTCCATTTTCCTCTGATTTCACTTTACCAACCTGTTTATTTCCCTGCCTTGCCATTTTCTTTATGTCTGCTTCCTACATGCAATGATATATCGATAAAGATATTAACAATAACGAATCAAAGAAATCTCATCAACACCTACACATACAATTTTCTCTTATAAACGGTATGATTCAGGTAACTTTTATTATACTGTACCAGTTGTTTTTCTTGTCTGTCTAAAGCATTTTTGTCTCTCGTTAGTTCACGTTGTGCTCTATTAAGCTGTCTTTTTTGCTGTCGCATTTGCTCTGCAAATAAAAATTATTTAAAACCATGTCAAGGTAAAAAAAAGAAATAAAATCTAGTTCAAGTTATCAACCCCTCATCGTTAATCCTATAGAGGAGTGAAAGACCTCCTTAGCTTGGGTATAATGTTCTCCAAATTCAGAATACGTATCATTCTCTTGAGAATAAGATTCATCGTTTGAGTTCTATCCATATTTATGTGTCTTCTTATGCATAACCATTAAATAAAGAAATGATACTCTAGGGAATGACACTTGGTCTTAAATGTGAAAACATTAAACCCAATTGCTGAAAGGGTCTACTTAATGAGTGCAAAACCTGATCATACATAATTCCTCACAGATGATTTTTAATATAGTAGTTAACAATTATTCGCCAAAGGTGAAGTGAATGTCAGGGAATATTTACCGAGACGTGAGTCTTCGAGAGGCGAGGTAAATATTCTCCGATATTTACTGAGGCTGAGGCAAATAATTGTTTTAGTATAAATACACAGGTGATTCTTTCAAAAAAAAAGAAAAAAAAGAAGATAAGAGAATTTTTTTTTCTGTAACAGAAACAAAGCAGTTGGTCGCCATTTTGGAATAATCACTCCAGGTGATTATCGTGTGATAGTGTGAGTTTCTCGACCAATCAGTGTGCAAGATTTTCAATAATTACTAAAAATTTTTACTAAAACAAGGATAGTGTCCTATATATATACAACTCTTGGTCTAATCTACAAGGATAGAGATCAGAGCTGATACATGTTGGTTTATCAACAGAGCCTATGCTAGCACTTATTGGATATACCTTAGAACTGTCTAAAAAAAATATTATAAGTTAACTTGATTAAGAATTGATGGAGATATCATTTAAATCTAGCTTGAACACAGAAATTTAGAYGAACAAACTCGGCATTGCACTCATGTACAACATAAATTTGTGAGTTTTTAATATGCTTATAGCTAAACTTTTCGCTTCATATTTTCAATACAGTTTCTTCAAGGGAAAAAAAAACCATAAATATATGAAGAAGGAAACCTCAAATCTTCTAATAAATAAATACATTGTAACCCTTATTCGAATCAACGGAAAAACATCCTTGAAAATTATAGCTTAATTTTCAACTTTATATATTCACAGGGGAGGTTTATAACAACAAACAACAAAAATCGAGAAAATCTTACCTTTGGGATCGGGTTTTCGAAACATCSTGAATGCTTGATGTTACTTCTGCCTCGTAGTCTACAGTACTAGCTGATATGATAACTGAATGATATTTAAAGATCTATAATAGGAAGCTACCTCATAATATTTCTCAACTCTTTTCTCCTCCAACCTTCGCCATTTTGTAAGACGCTAAAAATAGATCACCGAAAAAAAGACTGGCGACTAGTCTTGCGACTTCGGGAAATACTCGTTATATCTTCGGGTTAACTTCGTGAATACGGAAAGTTTGTAAAATTTACGTTGTTATTTTTATCTTTCTCATTTTTTAAAAATATAATCATTTCCCCCAACTAACGCTATACTTGTTTCCTCTGGAATTTAGTTTAAAATTTCAAATGTGGATAAAAAAATTATTTTGTTCAAAGGAAAATTAGGAAAACTCAAAGTAAAAATAATAATGCTACTAATGATGATAGCTCGCCTTAAGTACTAAAATGCTTCTTCCTTTTACTCAGCAATCAAACTAATCCYGGCTCCCTAGCTTGTTAGAGCAATACCGAACGACGGGGTAGGGGAAGGGCAAATTTGTACTCATTCCCAGGKCAGTAATTTATAACAATACAGACGCATTAACTAAAGAGTCATATTTAGCAATTATTCGCAGGAGTCGAAGTAAATATTGGGGAATATTCAACCGAGACGCGAGTCTTCGCCATATACCATATACCAAGCATATACCAACTTTTGTACAGAGTAACTTATTTTTATGTACAATAATTCGATAAAAACAAACAAACAGAAACTTTTAGTTTGCGTGACAAATTCACGCAAAACTTTTAGCAAAACTTTTTATTCGTTGTCTTTTTAGTATTGATAGGAATGGCATTTACTTTCATTTTGTCCAATTTTTCTCATCGGAAATTGTAGAAACGATTGCCGGCAGATGCCGTTTTGATTCAGAGGTGAATATCGTACAATATTCACCTCCAATTAACCAATGAGCGCGCGCGTTCTTAGGAAGTACACAAGTTGGTATATGCTAAATAAATAAATATATATATATATATACATATCAAGGTTTATGTCCAGACAGGCGACCAGAAGGACAAGGATCTTCGGTTTTTATTTGTTACTATAAATAAATCGCCGTTATTGTCGCCATATAACCAGTTACCCATAATCCTACATGTGGACGTTTAATATCCGAGAAAATGTGCCTAAGCCTTTTATCGGTTTAACGAATTGTATGAATGGCACATTAAGGTATTATATACGGTTAGAGCGGATGAGAGAGTCAAAGCGCTCCGCTCTGACCATAAGTCAAGGTGGCCTAAGGCGGAATCATGATTTGAAAGGCTAGTGTCAACACATACAATCTTCATTAAATTCTAAATGAMATATCTGATGAATTTGCCAATCTCTCCTCAAACATAAGTCCTCAACTCTTTAATGTCGATCTATTATTAGTGTGAAAAGCCGCTTAAAGTGATAAAATTGAAAGAGCACCGATGCTGCAATGTCAGTTGCCAGCCAGCTGGATGATATTCCTGTGGGGGTAGGGGCGGTTTCACTTACCCCTCCCCCCCCCCCCTCCCCCAATTCAAGTCTCCAACACATCCAACCAAATTTCTCAAGATATTTACTTCAAATGAAGTGAGCTAAGCTGTGTCGTTAAAATCCTCAGCCAAATCAAATAAAAATTTGCGCTTCTATTAACCGCTCGTCCTGCTGGGCTAGTAGCTACCGCGCATGCGTAAACGGGATTTTGATGAAATCTTTTCACGGTCAGCTGTTTGTAAAAGCGAAGTTCACAGACGATTTTTATCACTTTAATGTATTTTCCTATATTTATTCTTAAACACACTCTGCTGATTGCGAGATTGTGTGATTATCAACATTTTAGATACTCCAGCAGGCAAGGAAATCTCGTTGTGAAGAACATGTTTTCTTATGATTGATTTTATTTAACAGTACTGTTTTTCTACTTCTTTTCGAGTTCGCTTTTCGTTAAAGAAAGATAACCGTTTTCTATAAGAAGAAAAAGCAAAGCTCGAAGATTGGAAGCTCCGAAAAAATAGCACGACAAGAAAAAAAGAAAAAAAATGCTTAAAAAAAATGCTTAAAAAAAAATGCTTAAAAAAAAAATGCTTAAAAAAAAAAAGCCCAACTTGTCATCGCTTATCACCACCGCAAGTACAGCATTGGCGCAGGTCAACGGGGTCGAACTAAAAGCATGTGAAGGCGCCTCTGGGGCAGCCGCTATAGAGTCCATGTATGACCCCGGAGCACAGCTCCAACCAGTTTGAATGAGTTAATTAGGGTTGGTTTGAGAGGAGGGAGGAAAAACCCAAAAACACACGGAGTCAGAAAGAGAACTARCYAACTCATCTCACATGGGGYGACTGAGGCGCTTCAACATCACGTATCTCAGTGTTCCAGGGATAGATGGGATGAATGGATCGAAAGTTAGATTGAATAGAAGGGAGGTATAAATGAATGGAAAGGACGGGATGGATGGGTGGATGGATGGATGGAAAGGATAGATAAGATGAGAGGGACTAGATGGATGGGATGAGCGAATGATCATAGAATGAATTGTGGGAGAGGAACATGTGTAAATGGATGGAAAGCAGGACGGACTTTTTTTCCTATTTATCTAATTTTAATCTTCTTTCCACGTTATTTGTCGTTACATCACCAGGGTGAGTGAGTTTCCTAGTGGCACAACATTACTAAATCAATAAAAAAACATTATCCAAGTCAAATGAATTATTTCCAATGCCCAATAAGAATCTCAAAATTCATATTTTCCAAAAATATGTTTCAGGTGGCATGAGATCGACGCGTTAATATGGATAATCTTTTCCGAATTTTTATATCTTTTTATTTATCTCTTAAAGAATGTCCAAAAATATGATTAACGAAGAAACTAAGGACTGTTATGRTTTTTGTTGCTCTATTATCGATTACTGTAATATCCATGGAGAATTATTTCCCTGGATTTAYTGTGCAATGAATGACCATTTTCAAGGCTATGTTCGTATTTTTCAACTCTGCCAAGCAGTGATASATATATTTTTGTTCAGAAAGCCGCGTTAAGGCGCTGAATTTGACTAAAAATAGGTTTCAATTAAGATTTTAATTAAGCTTTTATTTGGTTCCAAAACTGAAAGGATTAGTTCGAAARTTACACCATGCCATTATTATCGCCAGAAAACAAAAACCCTACGCTATTTTTCTGTTTAATTACCTAATTTTACCAAACGCTTTTACTGTTGTTCGAGTAACATACGTGTTGACAAGTTTGCTTTCGTCTACGTCTGTATCGTTTGCACCTCATCATTMATCTTTTTTCACGAAAAATTATTATTATTTGGTAAGCCCTTATTACAGAGCCATCCCTTGGACTTGGCCTTACAAAAAACGCGACAGCCGACGATTCGAATTGCTCTTAACTCTTATKATAATGGTTTTGCTACAAATCGTTGATCATAACATTTCCATTTTCTTTGGATACAGCGACGCCCCAAATTTGAATAAAAATACAATTTGGCTATTTTTAGACCTGTCGAATAACAAAAGATGTTTGATGATCGGAATAACAACACGGTTGCGGTCTGCGTTATATATAGAATGCCTAAGAAAACAAAGATAAGTGAGCCAGTGTGTTCGCCAGTACTGTTTGATCAGTCGTTATAGACCAGTGTATGTATTTGCATTCTAGCCGATTCAACAGACACATTCTCGWCAATTTTCAGTATACATTATCTTGGAAAAGTTGTGTCTAGCAATAGCGAAACAACAAGCTGTCTTCCTGAGGAAGAGTCTTGGGAACTTTGAGCGTGGATAGATCGATCAAGACAGACTCGCCCAGGCGCTTAACGAGACAAAGACTGAACACGTTTTAAAATAACAAGCAAAAGATTTCRTTAAGAGAGAGAAAAGAGAGGTAGCAGGGTAGAATAATGGAGTTTTATCCTGGTTCCATGGTTGAAAACACCGCGCCAAGAGAACGAAGTCGCAGTCTGAATATGCCTTCAGCAAATTATCCCATCAAAGTTGAACAGAAAAAAGGAAGAAGACAATCGCTGGTTTTAACGCCGAAGGTATTAAACGAATATTCGAAAGTTGAAGAAGAATCTGCATCATTTCAAAGGAAGTACGACACGGCACACTACTTCGTGTTTGGCTCACATGTTAAGCAAAAGTCAGTCGAGTACCCGAGCGGTTCATGGCCATGGCCGGTTGACTCGTTGGTCAATACTCCACATTGCAAATCAGATCCATGTTTATCTGGAACCGGATTATACAGTAGGAAAACTTCATGCCCTGGTTTGCAAAATCATTCTAAGGAATTCTCGTAGGATTAGCTTAAGGTTGATCGAGTAATATCAGCGCGCTAGCTGCTGGGATCTTCAACAACTGCCTCATCCCTCTGTGATGGAGCATATCAAAAATAGTCAATGATATTGGTCGTCGTCACAGCGACCGAATACTACTCGTTGAAATTAAAACCAATTAAATCGATTGAATTTGTTTAGGAATGTTCTCTTTGGTGGATTTTTAACGCTGTAAATAACTTGAAGGTGTAGATAATTCCGGTAATGAAAGAACGTATTTATTTCAGTTACGCCGGCCGCTTTGTGTTCGTTTTATCGTTACGCTAAAACCATTCCCCTTCGAAATGAAATGATTGTTATTCATTCAACACTAGTACTAGTTAGTAACGCAGTAAATCTCAAGTACGTTGAATCCTAAGCCTTTCTAGACTCTCCTTTTGTACACTGTTTGTACTGGAAACAATTAATCATCAAGCATTCGACAGCTGATGTTACAAGCATTCGATAGCTGATGTTACAAGTACAGGAGGTATATATATATGTATATATATCTTCTACTCCATATCTACTACTTTAATTCTTATGTAAATGATTATCACATAGTAGTCTACGRTCTTGTTAAGATTAGACTTCCATAGTCAGTCAGGTTTAGAGAAAGACTATGATCTTAGTACCAAATAAAGTCGAGTAGCTCCTAGAATGTTTTTAAGCCCAAAAAGTAATATAAAAGGCGGTCAAATTTGGRGCAATTTTCGATATTCTAAGAGTGTTTTTCAACGCTTTGCCAGTGGGATGTTTTCTCTTAGGAGTCGATTCGTCGATAAAACATTGGCTTTATAATTCATCAATTTAACATCAGT